CCCCAATACATGTAGTGTGTGCACCTTAGAAACTTATACAATCTCACCGTTTCTGGATAATTATACATGACGAAGTATATACGACGTGCACCTAATATTACAGCCTTAAGACTATGGATTATAGATAGGTCGATAACATGTACTACGTTTCGTATAATTCTACAACTAGATCTATGTACTGCGAATGAATGATTAGTACACGGGAGAAACAACTCCGTTGGTGCAACTAAATTTACTGTTACTTGGAGACCTGGTGAAAAACTCGGTTGTAGGAACAGAAAGATTCCAGCGTAGGAGAATTATTTGGCCAACTGTTCTCAGTTATTTCAACTGAGTTTTAATGCTGAATGTCCGAACAAATGTGTTTAGTAACAGAGTTATTATTTCTCGTCAATGAGTTTTTCGTCTGATCCCCATTTAATCATCCGAACTGAAATCCTCTTTCTTTCCCTGTACGCGTCTGTGGAACACTAACGAAGAGCCCGTCAATTAAAAATCAAGAAGGAAGTTCGACAAGCTGCGTTCGGCTGGCCGTGTACAGGTCATACCAATATTTTGTCCTACAACTATCTATTGCGACATATCTTTCTATTGCAACTGAAATACTGAAGACCAACTTGATCGATCGTGCGCATCAAGTCGAAACTTAAAATTGCATTATTCCCGAATTGCAAATTCATGTAATTCTCTATCTCTCTCCCCCCCCCTCCCTCTCCTCTTTCCCTTCTCTATCTATTTGTAATGACTAGAGATACTACGATTAAAAATGACTGATAATTATTAATTTCTAAGCAGGCATGCTCTCCCCCGAACTAACGTTCATCATAGCGGACTAGAGATTACATTCGGACTAGATTATGTACATATTAATTAAATACACCTGCTACCCGTGTCGTAAACGTATAACGTCGTGGCACCTAAAAGCTACGATTTGGACTAGAAAGTACTCTTCCGCTCCGAATTAATGGAGCGATCGATAATGCAAAACTCAAAAGATAACGCAAACGAAAAATTGCACTCAAGCGACAAAAGACATTATTAAAGGCATAATAAGGATAATCTATGCGACTAGAAATTAAGGTACATCTCGATTGACTAGGCTGCATCTCCACTCGGAACTTTGTCTTTATAATTAAAGTCGCGATATTTTATTGCGATGTTCGTTATTTCTCTGTAAATCTTTGCCATTTCAAGGTAGGTTGCAACGGACTCTGCGTGAGATGACTAGACAATTTTCATTACATATATGCCTATAACTTACTCTAATTCCAATTAATGACTAGATTCTACGACTGAAAATTAGTTTCTTAATCGTGACTAGAGAGATCTACTCTATCAGACTTTCGTTATTTCTTCCCTCCCGTTGAACTCTCGAAGAGTGTTCAATGCTGCCCTTCGAAATTCGAGTTTGCTCCCGATACCATCGTCGCAGAATTCGACATGAACTGCGCATTTCAAGCGCCTTAACTATCTTTGATTTCAGCTGTATGAGATTGATCGCTGGGACCGGTGCGCTAAATTTAAGACTAATCGCCGATTTCGCCAACGTCGATTAACATTGACATTAAAGTAGCGCGTGTATTACTAATACTTATGCCGGATAAACTATCTATGTTCTAAAATAAAGGTGAAATTATCGCTCGAGGAAATTTCTCACGTGAATGGGTGAGTACGACGTTTACGACTAGACTCGCGCGCGTTTGGACTCGAGCGTAATTTAGATCACGTTGTCTTGAAAAATGATGAGGAATCAATTAAGGTGAGACCGCGTGATTAAGCGACGTTGGCGAAAGCAAGCCTAAAGGGTGTCGTAACAACACCTAATAGACGCCTAATCGCGGCCTAAAGTCGGCGCGGACGACTTAACGCTAGACAAATTGAGATCGCCGTGTTAGATAGCCTTTATCGCTTAGCTTAATCGCACTTCGCTATATATACAGACATCGTGCGTGCTATATACAGATTTACATCGCGCGAGACACCACGTCGGTCTACTCGCTCGCTCGCGCTCATTTGCAATCACATCGTTCGGAATTTTACAGAAATTTACAGAAGCACTCTCGGATATCGAAATTCTCACGCTTTCGGCAATGGTGCACCATCGCGATGGTCTCGATTCTTAACAGCTATGCTACGATTGCTACGTTAACCGTTTAATTAATCAGCAAAACTCCCGACATGATGCGCAACACAATTTGTCCGGCACAATTTTATCGCGTTTTGCGCCAACCACTCATGACCGTCAAGCAATGTAATTTGCTGTGCGTCAACGTTTTGATGTGAATCGCGTATCACTATTAATTATAAACGCGCGTTGTCTCACACGATTTTATAGCCGATTTCGCACCGTTCATTACAATAATTATCTGATCGTGAGAAATGTGTTAAACATTCGCGTCGGTCATATCCGGAAATGTATCTATCATATTTCGACACCTTTCTCTTTCTTTCTCCTGACCGCTTAATATGTTATCAATTGCAAATGCGCTATGTATCACCTACGATTCTTAGTAACACACACACACATGCACGCACGCAACATACACACACATACACATATACACAAATGGAATTTATATTTTACTCTCGATTATCTCTGTCAGTTTTTACTACTGTTTACAATACAATCGACACATACATACAAATTTATATTTGATTCATACAATAGTGATGCACGACCCTGTTTCTTCCCGGTACTGATCCTGAGTAGAGAAATTTACATAATAACGGTAATCTTACATCTTATCTGAACATATATAATTCCAAATCTATCAATTTCATAGCCAGGATTTGTTTTTTCTACTGCAACAGTCAAACGAAAGCGCGTCGCTGGCGCATCACTGCTATGAAAATAACAAATATTAATATATGTGCGTCCTAGTGTTCTCTAACTCCTTATCAGTCAAAGTTCCATGTTTACGATTTCAAAGTTTGGTGCCTTTTTGGTGCCTTACATGACAGTTTGCAATATAGATGAATAGAATTTAATCCGCGAAGTGGAGTAAATTTTTCAGGAACCAATTACGGCTGATAATCGATGATTGATATTAGCAACGTTTCAGATGTTGTGACTTGAGGAAGTTTTGTGCAATTGCAAAAGAGAAAACCTAAAAATTATAAGAGAAGCGTCTCCCCTAATCCTTCCCGATCTTTCTTCTCCCCTACGTATCTATTTTTTTTTCTTTTCTTCTTTTTTCAGTCTCCTGCCTTAATACTACGGACGAGTACGTGGATCATTTTGATTGTGCACTTATACTTACGAAAGCCTCAACGACGTCGGTGGCGGAATGGATTGATAAGAAGCCAGCCAGCCCTCGCGTCAGCCCTCACAGGTCAAGGCCGAATCTCCAGTAGAGGCCGGGTCGTCTCGGCAGGGGTCTCGCCGGAAATTGGTGTCAGGTCATCTCGCTGGTCAACTGGCCGGTCGCAAGCGTCTGCACGACTTCTGGTTTCACGATGGCTTCTTGACCGTCGACGACGTTGTTGTTGTTGTTGTTGTTGTTGTTGTTACTGCCGGTGGTGTTATTGGTGATGGTCTCAGGGTGCTGAGCGGCCAAGTGTTTTCTCAGTGCAGCCTGCCTGGTGAATTTGGCCTCGCATCTAGTGCAGGGAATCTCCGTATTGGCAGCCGACGATGTGGACGACGACGATGACGACGACGGCGAGGAGGAGTTGGCCGCACTCGAGGAGGAATTGCCGTCGTTGTTCGGCAGTCTGGGCTTGTGCCAGCGTCGATGGGACGCTAAGTTGGCTGGACAGGAGAAGCGCTTGTCACACTCGGGGCAACGGTACTCCACGTGGGCGATCCTGGAGCAGCGGTGTTGCGCCAGCTGGAAGGCGTCCTCGTGAAGCTGCCGGCAGAGCTTGCATTGATACGGGCCGAGTCGATTCTCGATCTTGGCGAGCTCGGCTCGCGCCTCCTCCGTGACCTCGACGATGTTGAAGGCGGGATCGATGTCGCCGGTCACCACCGCCTCATCTGGGCCCAAAATTACCGTACCCGACACTGGACTGCTGGTGTCCTCGTCGAACTTGAGTCGTCGGGCATGCTTCTTCTTGGGCCTCTGATTATTGGTGGTCTTCTCCGTGCTGCTTTGCTTCGGGGTCGTGAGGGAGGCGCTACTGGCGAGTCCTGAGGATGGTGACGCGAGGTCCTCCTCCCGAACTCTTCTTCGAGGACACTGAGGCGGCGACGGGGTGCTGGGTGGTGTCATAGGTGCGTGCACACCCTGAAGATGATGCTGCGGCGTCAGTAATAGCTGCTGGTGATAACCTTGCATCGACTGTATGTGCGTCGGACTTGTCAGCAGGAGCTTCTGGTTGTGTAGATGGTACTTTGAACTGAAATCGTTGCTAGGATACGACGGCAGTCGTGTGCTCTCTTCGGAAAGATGGATTTTATCCATCACCGGGTCGTGAAGACGAGGTGATTCCTTGTTGAGGACCAGTCGCTCATAGTGACTGTGATGGCTTTGTGCCGAAGAGCTACGCAAGGTATCTAAGTCGTCCACCACCAGCTGCTCTTCCTGACTATCTGTACGACTTTCACCCGGCCGAGCTTGGATTCTATCGCGGATCCTAAGATCTTTCTCGTCGCCTACCTCAATCATCTCCTCTGTCTTTGGAGTGCTCGGAGTCGGCGGTGGCTTCAGTGACAAGTCCAACGGGCACGGAGTCGAGGACCTCGAGGACTCCCAGGACTGCAACGACGAATGATGTTCGGTGGAGATTCTCGAGTATACCGGCGAAGACGGGTCCTCCATCGGGATGTGCCACGTGGCGGGTGGCGCGGCGTAGGCAGGGTGGACCTCCTCGCTGTAGTAACCCAGGTAATTAAGACCGGAGGCCAAGAAGGCCCTCGGCAAAGCGCCGTGCAGCATCTTCGGATTTTCCCTCCTTCCTTCTTCGTTTCAGGATCTCTTCAGAATTCACGCTGCGACTGTTGCTTGCCACGTCGTGTCTCCATGGTACCCGAAGGAAGAGAGGAAGGAAGGAAGGAAGGCAGGAAACTGAGTTTGTGAGGAAGGAAGCTTCGAGGAGAGCGATCAGCCACCTGAAGACACTTTCACCGAAGAGAGAGAGAGAGAGAGAGCGCTGGCCTGCTTCGTCTTCTTCGAAGATGATCGCTGATAGACAACGACACGACCTTCTCCCTCGGCGGTCGGACGCCGTTTGACAGAAGGTCGCTCGTGCCGCGTCTCGTATATCCGTACGCTCCGCCCGGGCACCCACGGCTCACGCGACTCTCATTGGCCGACCCCTACCCGATTCTCTTCAGCGCGTGCCCGTTTAAACTCACGACGCCCCGCTCGGTGCAAGCAGACGCTGCTGAGCAGCTGGTGGAGTAGGGATGTAGCTTCTCGGCTTGCCTGGTCCTGGTGGTCTCTCTTCGCGGAGCAGGTAGAACACCCCGACAGGGGACGACGGAATCGCAATTTTATAGAGCAGCGCCAAAGTATTGATGGAGTCGCGCACCCAAAGCGATATCGCGTGATGTTGGTCAATGTTTCAATAGGTCAGTTTATTGTACTCGAATTATAGGCTGAAAATATAGGCTGTATCATTGTCGCGAGTCCTAATACGCCCAATACTTTCAATATACAGTCGTATGCAATAATTAATGCCTGTCGTTGCCGTGATATCTTCGATGCAAAAGTAAATGATATATGCTCTGTCCGATAATGTTTTCCGTTCAGCAGAATAAGTAAGAACAAGCCAACGGTGGTTGTCGTTCCGATAGTCATTCTTATCTTTGATATCGCGGCAAGTGATAATATATATCCTTTAATCAGCAATATCGAGTAGAAAAGAAACAATAACTAACTACTCGCGTTCAATAATTTCGAGATTTACGAAATTATATGCTTTATCTTGATTTTGCATTCGTCGTGCCTTGTATTAATTGATGTTTGCTATTGCCCGTAACATTGTCGTTACTTGACCGTCTGATGAGCGCGATAAATCGTTGCATTTGTTGCAAATCCAAACTGGCAAATATATCGCGCTCATTTTAACGCGATATTGAAGCGCGGGGATTAAAGGACTACGTTGAATCGGATCGAGGAAATTTTAGCGTGTCATGTATTATACATGTGTTATACATGTACATATATTTCCTGAGTACAGTTTTAATAATGAAACATATAATAATGCGATATATAAAATACAATTTGATGTAAGACGTTCGTCCTCAACTTGCGTCTAATGACACGTCCAATATTGTTACGCGACGTTCGCGATTAATCATTCAGTCGCTTCGATAAGACCCTTCTTACTGCCGCGACAGCTCTCTACGGTCGTGTCCGATAGTGAGGCACGTCCGATAGTTACACGTGTAACGCATCGTTAAGACACCACCGTGTGTATCCGTCTCTCTTTTTCGTGACATTAAACTCAGCCTTGACGCTGGTCGAAGGTGTTTCGTCCTACGTGCGCGCATACACGCTCGTTCTTTCTATTGACAAACATAAAGAAAAAAAAAAAGAACGGATCTTATGTCGCGTCAGCGAGACGCGTTGATAACCGCTATACAGCTCTCGTACACGCGTGTGTATGTGCACGAAATTATACGTTTCACGCATGATACACGGGCCCGGTAACGTATGTACGTATGTCGGACAAGAAGCTGAAGTATTCTCGCCGCCCGCACGCTGCTGCCATAAACGCCTACCCGCGAGGCTCGCTCGCTCGCTCGCTCGATCGATCGATATATACCTGCGTACGTCCCTGGATTCCGTAAAGCGCTCGTTTGCGTAAAGCGTGTGATACGACACGACGCTTCCGAGCCGCCGATCTCGCCGTCGCGAACGTGTGCTCCGCCGTGTAGCTGAGGACCAGGCTCGCGCGGCCGGTTAATCTCACGCAAATAGCTACATCGGCCAAATGATCGGCTGATTAATTCAGGCAGCGAACTGGAAATGGAAATTGGGCAAGCGTTGCCGGTGAAACATTGACGAGGCCGCGCATATCTGAAAGATCGTTCTTGCAATATTAAACGCTACTCTGACGGATTATGCGCGACCGTCGTCGTCAAACAGCTGCCCGAATCGATCTTGTTCGCTTAAGGATCTAAGGTCCTTGTTGAGTCTGAGAATTCAACGACTCGTCGAGTTACTTCTATGTGTACAAATAACATGTTGCAGTAAAAATTACGCAAATATTATATTTCTTTTTACAGAGTTTTCAACCTAGATTGTACTGAAATTATAGTATGAATTGCTATAGAAATATTAAATTTCACAATTTCTATCTGGTATACGATATAAGAAATATCCAAGTAATTAATCTTGTAGTAAAAAACCAAACGTACATAACATTTTCAAACAAATATATAATAATTTCGGTCATAAATGGTTTAAGATTGCAAGAATTTTGATGTAATTTTCACTACATTTTCTTCATGAATTTTTTTCTTCAATTAAATCTGTTATTTTATAACCGTTTTATAACCGTCAGACAGTTCTCAGACGAGGAGAAGAGAAGCTAAAAAACGATGTTTCTTTCCTTTTGTAATTGCGTCGACAAGAAGACGACGCCGACGTCGTTATCGTCATCGTCTGTCTGGAAAGTCCTCGTCGAGGAGACGTCTCGCGAAAAGCGCAGCGTCGTAATCCGTTGATCTTCTTACGTAATTAACGGGCCCCGGGCACGTCCGATTAATCGCCATAAATATTTCCGCGACGCTGATGGACGTGTCCATCCAGAGCGTTGCGTGCCTCTCCTTGCCCGAATGCGCGCGTTCGAATGCGAAACTACGCACGCATGTGTGTGCATGTGTGCGCATGTGTGCGTCGGTCGCGTAAGTCCGAGCGCCAGTTAATCTGCACCCCCGAGAGACCCACGAAGACCGAGAACAATCACGCTGTAATTGGACGAGAGGCTGTTGAGATGCGCTCAAGACGACGCTCTTACCCTCTCGAAAAACTGACGACGATTGACGCAATCGTTGCCGTTATCATCGGTCATTATCGTCGCTCGTTGTCGCGTAATCGTCCGCACGGAAAATTGCGAGGCAATTAAGGGGTGCGCCAAGGATTATAATATTAATCTTAAATATACATAGGCGGTGTAGATGTTTCTTACCTGATGAAAAAAACCTGACGAAAAGCGGAATTTTTTTGTCTATCGATAACGTTGATCAGAGAAAACCTATAAAAAAACTCACAAAATCATATAATACACGATTACACAGCATGTTGCTTGAGTGAAAATCACAGATGGAAGACATTTCATTCATAATTTAAGAATATTCCGATTTGAAAGCTGCGACATTTCATTGCCGATAATTAAAGGATGTCGTTACAAATGTCACTTAACTGCATTTAAGATATCAGCAGCGTATAAAAAGCTCTGTAGCGGAGCTCGTTGACAGTAAAATGTTAAATTTATCTGTTTCGATGCTAATTAATTACTAACGAGATATAATAGATCCCGTTTGCGCGACTAAATAGAATAAAAGAAATATAAAAGCGTAGTAAAAACCCAGCGGCGAGACAGAAGTAGAATCGTTATATATTCCGGGTATACTGCATTACTTACGGCGTTCTATTTTTGTCGAGATTGATTAGTCGTTATTTCAGGTTTCAATACGCCGGGATCTTTCTCTTTCTATATTTTGCATTCGACACAGTTATATTATTACGCCAGCGAGCGAGAAATATTGCAACACGTATCCGGAAATCCGTTCGCATACATTCGCCCCGTAATCCCTCTCTCCCTCTCTTTCTCTCTATGCGTGCGTTTCTCTCTTTCTCTCTCTGCCTTCGGGCATAAAATTTCAACGCGTATCCCACGTAATCATTCCGCCGGGCGAACGAAAACAAGTGGCAAATGGTCCATTATTATCCGCCAAACGTTATTCGAACTAAATACAGACGGATGTAAAATATAGGCATTAACGCGAAGCGAGCGCGGCCGCGCGGCGCGGTCGATGCGGATTTGCCATGATTATTTGATACCTGGCGAAAACATTTTGCCACGTGTTGCGCTACCGCACGGTGTGCAGAATGCGTTTCGCGGAACGTATATGTGAAAATACCCGCGCGATGCACTCGGATTACCCCGGGCCAGCGGATATTAGATACACGCTTTTGCGCTTTTCGCCCGCGAAATTGTGCGGCGGTTTAATACGTCGCGTCGAACGCACTCGGGAGGTGAAACCGGCAGTCGCGTGACCGCTGAATTGCGAAAGTATTTGAAAGGTGTATTCGTTGAGATAGTATTAAATCAGATACTGTCCGATTTATTTAGGGACCGTTTCGAGCCTGAGAGAGAGAGAGAGAGAACGTTTTTAAAAATTGAAATTTCAATTACTCACTGACTTCGTTCCGTTTCAGATTCGTGACTTCATCTTCGGTAGTCGAGAATCCACAGAGAAATTTCTCCTTTACCCGCTAATATCAACGTAAGTATATAATAGATCTGAAAGACTTATGTGAACGTATTTAAAGTGTATTAATGTTAAAATTATTCAACTGCGATATATTCATCTCTTTCATATTTCTTTGATATTCTAATTTATTTCTACTAAGAATCCCAATCTATATTAATCGAATCACATTGATTGCAGATTTCGCACTTCACGGAGTTATGGTCCAGAAAATAAGATGAATTTTAAATACATCAAACATCTACCGGCCGCGACTTCCCCAAAAAGACTTCACCGTTTCATCTATACCATCCGCCAGATTCTCTCTATTGGAACATCCCGATGCTGTCGTACATAAATTCGTCGATACATCAGCTCTGGCGCCGATCGCATCTCCACGAGAACGAAGGAGGCAGAGTAAGATCCCCTGATTGCGGAAACGCGACAGAGGGATCTTCTAAATATCTCGCAAATGCGGAACACGCTAGTACTCGCCTGTCGACGAGGGAAAGCGAGAAAGAGAGAGAGAGAGAAGGAGAGAGAAGAAGAGAAAGGGAGAGAGAGAGCGAGAGAGAGAGAGGTTTCCAGGATGGGCGAGTAAGCTTTTTGCCTACGCGGATGTAGCTCTCGTCCGCTGGTATGGAGGGAACGGGACGGGAGGGCGGCCCTGCATATTTCATGCGATTTTAATGTGTCTCCGGCCGCTGCCGCCGCCGCTCGCTGCCGAACACCCGGTAGAACCGAGAGACTGTGCCACCGTCCTGCTGTACGGGGCAGGAGTGACTGCCGTGATGCTCTAATCGGCTTACGCAACAAGCCACCCTTATCCCCGGCCTCCACGGCGCGGTCTCTCGTTTCCACCCCCGTTCGCGTCCCAAGCTGCTACCGCCAACATCGCCACCACCGTCGCTCCTTATCCGCGCTGGGCCCTAAACGACGGCTATTACTTTGCGGTAGCCTCGGTTCTGTATCCTTCGAGGACTTCGACAGCTCCTGACGATGGACAGGAGAGGAGAGAAGAGGAGAGAACGAACGGCGAGAGGAGTAGAACATGTATTCCTCCGGGTTTTTCGATCCGACGAGAGTTCAATTAAAAAATAGCGTACGATGTCGACGGAAATCGAGGAGAGAAATCGGTGATAACACCGAGCGTAAGTTTCATACGATCTCATTTTTTGGAAACTTCTCGGCGAAAGGGAAATTGCTGAGAGAAATTGCTCTTGCTCTTCGTGACTCAGCGAAGAAAATTCCTGGCAACGATGGTAACGTAATAATATCTCTACTCGATCGATCTTACCGATAGTTGTAAGTCTCGACAGTCGGATATAAAATTGCGGAGGGCAAGATATTCTAGAAAAAGATTGAGCTGTTTTTGCGAAGGAAATTCTCCGGTCGAATACCTCGACATTCTCGCGACGGTACTACGGGAATAAATGAATACTTTTGGAGAGGGAGATTTTTGTCTGTACGTGTGTGCGTGCATATGTGCGCGCGGCGTAGCTCTGCCCAACCTTCCGTGCGTGTTTGCCGAGTGCACGAGGGGGGCACACTTGGTTGCCCTAGGCCAGAACGTGCATTATTGGATAGAGTTACGTTAAACATACGCGCCGCGCGCGCACACCACACGTTCGCTTTTCCTCTCTTCCGATGCTGGTATTCTCAAGCCGCGAACGAACGGGCGAGCGAGCGCGTTATTCGCACCGCGATATCGGATGAACCCGATGAGTTTGCCTGCGACAAACATACGAGTGGCATATCGTCGGCACCGAATTCACTATTCGGTGAACGCCCCGTCATCACGTATTTCTCACCAACGGCATGCCTACTCCTTTATAATTATTATACGATTGTGTTCGATTATATACATATATTATATCTGATGTAACATTGCGCCGACAATTTAACCTTCCGCACTAGCTGCAAAATTTCCTAGTAATTGCGAAATCAATATTTTCCTGGCAAATTCTCTTAGAGAACATAATATTTATCCATACCTTTAGATAATGGTAATTTTTGCTTTTATTAATGTATATGGTAATTGTTGTAATTTTTGTTTCATTAGAGAAATTGATTAGAAGATTTGATAGAAGACTGATGAAATGAGGAAACTCGAGATAAAAAAAATGATAAAATTCTCGTGAAACTGTCGAAAATTTTCGGAAAACAACACGAGGCCAAACTTAAACGCGCGTTTTATATGAAAGAAAAGCTGGTTTGATGTATTATTTAATTATTCTATTCTAAGTATGGTACATATTTATAAAAAAAAAATTATGGATCTCAGCAATACACACACAAAATAATTCAATGCAAACTGTAAGTTTCTAAAGATTTATTTCGATCTGCATACATTTCAAAAGATCATCGATGTCCATATTATTATTGATAATCTGTAATTATTTATAATCACATGCGGGTTACGGATTAAAATTCACTATTTTATATTACGTAAGAGATTGTATGTACTTATGTATGTATGAATGTATACGTATATACGAAGCAAAATAAGCGTTACTCCACATCACATCCCCGTAGACAAATGCGAAGGATGTTATCTGTGTAAAGTCGCTCTTCGATGAACACTCTATGTAGCTAATTCTCTCGTATCACAGAATTCGCATTTAGTTGTTTGGTTGCGGTTTTATAATTCGGTAGCACGAACAATCTCTATTATTCGGTAATTCGGTGCGCGTCCTTGTACATACGTATATCACATGCAAGAAGAGAGTGGCAGGAGAAATCGTATATAATAGTAAAATCGGACGATTTAAGTGTATCTGTTGGCATTGTTCCGCCAAGGAGATGGAATCAATGAAACTTGATCAGAGAAAAATTGTTCTAGAAGCGAAACTGGAAAATTTCGAAGAATATCGTATAGATTACTGAATATATCTCTTAGGACGATCTAATTAAAAATTGGACTTGAGCGAACCCTATATGTATCGTTGTCTGTATGTTAAGCTCTGCGGGTTTTTCTCATTTTATCGTGGCTTCAAGTGTTTTTACATCAAAAATTGTCAACTATGAGATCAAAATTCTATAGCCTATGCGAAAAACCCCTAAATTTTAAATTACAAGTGTATAATCGGTTTAAAGATGCGCTACTATTAAAAAGGCACAAATGTACAAATAGCTACTAGATCAACGATTATTTCGCAATTATTTGCTCGTAATTGTCACTCGCGAATTCAAAAGAAGCTATCGTACTCTATGACTCGCTGTCGATGAAAGAAAGGCATAAAATGTGGGTGTATATACTAACAATTATGCTGCGATATGTACTATTAAAAATGGCTTTTATATGTATGCTTCCAGCATAAAAAAGAGAAGCTGGAATTTCAAAGATGTGAAAGTTGCATCTCCATTTAAGTAAGACGGAGATTGTAAATTCTATATTTTGGGAAGTCTCATATTCTATATGAGGAAAGCTGTAAAAGCTTGATCACGTTCGTCGGCAACGTGTTTTTCGCACGATAACGTCTAACGAAAGTCAAAGAACTTCGTAACTCGATATCTGGACCCTATTTTTGAATTTGGCACATTCGGCTATTATTCGTGCATATCTCGAAATGGGTTCATTCAAAGCGCGTTTAATTCAGATAATAAATCTGACTGAAATTTTTTATGTGGATCGTGACGATTAAGCCCCGAATATCTTTAATGTGTCTCCGACAAACCAATGTGCCGGTTAGAACTTCACCTATAAGAGAATAAGTACAATGAAATTGTAAACTTATTTTATCCAATACTTCTACTGACATAAACTTATCGTATTAAAAAATCGTAGTATAAAAAAATCAAGTAACACATTAATACTTACCTTCGGTTATGCTAATGGGCTCGCTCAAAGAAAATACCGTCTGTTTCCAATGCGTTGGCGTAGAATGAGGGCCCGTACTGAAATGTACCGGATTCTCTAGATCAAAGAAAATGTCAAAATAGCCGACTATCGCGGTTAACGATCCCGTCTTTTTCACGTTCAACGTGAAGGGAGACGAGAAATTGACGCAGTCTGTAGTGACACTATACAAGTCGAATACTTGAATCTCAGCGGTGCTTGTTATTATATCGTCGACGTTGCAGATTTCTATACTGGGTTCGCGCACTACTTCCGCTTTCATACAGCTCATTTTGAAGCCGTAAACATTCGTCCAATAATCAACTAGATCGATATACCTTTCTGCAAAAAGATAACAGTTCATAATAAATAACGTAAGAGATAGTTCATAAGAATAATTTATAAAAGGCTTATTATATATAATTCCGCCTTATACGGTGAAATCTGGTAAATGATTTAATTGTAATAACAATTCAGTTGTATTCTCTTATTAAACAAGCAGTGTTATTACTGCAAAGGCAGTAAAATTGCAAAACGTACTGGTGTCACCGCTTCCTACGATACTAATTGCACATCTGTTTGGAAGTATTGCTCCACCAGGCGCCAAATAATGGTCCCTAGCATAAATGACGGTATCTAACATTCCCTCGAATAGGAGAAAATACCCCATCCACTCAGATATTATCGCGTCTACTTTTTCTTCTCCGATACTAATATCTTCCAGACGACCCTTTTTTAAAGTGATTATGTCACTAAGATTATTTTCCCTAAAACCAATAAAAATGTACGTTTTATTATTGATCTATATCAAGGCTCGGCACATTTTTCCTTTCTCGGCCGATTCTGGGGAGTTACGCCTTCTATCTCCTTCTTGCCGCGCGGCGAGCCATGCAAGTGACGGTCGCGGTCAGTCGCGGCTCCAAGCTTAAAGGCACGACCATCACTTTTTAGGCCGGCCGCGCGACAAGGGGGAGGTAGAAGGCGTAGCTACCGAGAATCGGCCGAAAATGTGCCGTGCCCTGATCTATATTGTGAATATATAGCTGGCTATATATAATAAATGTACAGATGTACAAAAGTAACAGATACCTTATTATATCCATAGCATGATATATCACGTCGGACTGATCAACACTGATAACTTTACGGCAACCAGACTTTGCCGCGAACATGGACAGAATACCAGTCCCACAACCGACGTCCAGCATTACACAATTGTGAAATCTATTAGAATTTGTCAACAAGGCATCACGATAGCTTTCTGTCCGTATTTTATCCTGATAACAAGTACAAGACACATTGATTAATATTTTAATTTTCTGGAAAAATTTAAGCGATATTTCTTTAGTAAAATATTTCAACTATTCTTCATAAACTTGTAATTTTAAATATTAAGCAGTACCTATATTTTCACTAAATTGCTTTGGAATGGTAAGGTTTATTCGTGACTTACTGTCAACATTTCATGATGTATCGCAAAGTGACTGTATGTATTAAAATATCCTTCATCAACATTGGGATTGTGGGCGCTGACTAGAGTGCTCTTCTCTTTTCCTTCTAAATCATCACCTAATATCAATTTTTGTGCTTTTTCTCTCATCTCTTCCATTTGCTATAAAGATACAGGCAACTTGTTTGTATCATATAAAAAGATATACTCAATGATTATATATCTGTACCTGTTTCACCAAGAAACACATTGTTTCACTTTCCTTCAGCTGAGATGTGAGAGACCGTATTGTTTTCTTCATATCTTCATATTGTACCTCTGGTAAAGTAACACTGTCATTGCTGCCATTTGAATGTATTTGCTTTGCTCCTCTCTCCTCACTTATATCCTTAATATTGATGAGATCTTCTATATCTTTATTAAAGTAACATTTCATATGTTAATACATAATACCATATATAAAAAAATAAGACTGATATAATTTTAAATTTCCTATACTTACCATACATTAACCATGGATCATTCTCTATGACAGGATGCAAATATTCTTCTTTGTCCCAAGTTTCTATACTCAGTGTACTTAATTGTTCAGGTAAAATCTCCTTACATCGAATGAAGTTAATTAACTTGATATATGTATAAGTATCATGAACATGTTTCCTTATAAAATTGCACAAGTTAAATTTGTGGAAAGTTTCGATATGGTGCAGTGCGGTAGAAAACCCATTAATGGTTTCTGTACAAAACAGACACGGAATGTTGTAGTCGTCTTCACCATTCTCTTCCCAATCATCTCCACTATCATTATCACTTATATCATTGTATATGTCATATCCTAAAAGAAAAGGAAGAGAATATTTACATTAATATATTTAACAAAAAATAAAATAATCGCACACGTATTATATAGATAGCACTACATTCTATCATTTTGTCATTTACTATACATTTATTTAGTGAGGTTTTCTGTAATATTTTACCTAATTTTGCCATGGCAAGCTTCGCTTTCTTAACGATGCTAACCACAAAAACAGAACAGCTGCAAATCTTATCGTGCGGTTCGAGCACGTGTCGACGACTGACGCTTTCCTCGCCTCATGCCAAGTTCATACTTTATGCATTGCGGAAATATCGGGTCAATGAAAACCGGTTAAACGATGGGAAAAACTAGAGACCTTATAATGAAAGATTTACACTGCGTCGATGTCCGATATACGACGCCGAGATCCAATAGGAGCTTTATAATCACGATATATGTATGTAAGATAAGACGTTTTTTCGTTTCGTGACCACGATACCATTTGGTTGGCTGATTTGGTCCACTTAACGCTCGCAACGCCTCGAGCAATAAAGATAGAATGACGTTCGCGGCGTTGCAAGCGTTAAGTGGACCAAACTAACCAACCACACGCTACCGTGGTTACGAAACAAAAAACGCCTATATTCTTAAATAAATAATATATATTTTGATGATTAGACACATACACACACACACACACACATACACACACACACACAATATATGCGCGTTTATATTTCATTCGCTATGTTAAATATTTTAATCACATCATATTAAAGCAAGTGAACTTTTTAATATGAAAATAAAGGGATAGTATAATAAGAATCTTTTTTATGTAAAATCAATATTATATAATTACGCACCACACAAGACGTAATTAGACAGATTTTATAAAACTCAATAGAATATAATTTATTATAGTATTCTTTTTCAGAAATATATTACATATAATTATATATAGAAATATACTGCAGACAAATTTCACAAAAGTCTTTGGCCGGTATTCATAGTCTGATCTTATATTTAAAATCATCTTAAGTACTGTTTTAAGATGTCATAAACCAATCACAGAGCTGTATTCGCATCTTAAGACATTACTTAAGACAGTCTTGAAATAAGATTCGACTATGAATACCAGCCTTTGACTATAATTTTTAACTACAATTTACAATTATAAAAAGAATAAACATACAAAATAATATTTATCTTACAATATATCTTGTCATTACAAAAGGCACATTAAAATATTGATATAAAGTACGATTGATATAAAGCTTGATTATTAAGAATAAAAATATTTGATAGATCAACAGTATAATGATGACAAGAACGTGGTTATCGGTTCCGAGTCTTTGTCGAGTTTGCAATTATCGGTTGACGTTTTGTAGATGTGACGACAACTTCAGTGCTTTGAAACTTCCTTTTCACGCTGTTTTCCGGTTTATTGATCTCTTGGTATAAGTTCTGTGCAACGTGAAAATCTGTATGCTCGCCGTACCTCGTTACGGGTATCATCTGACCGCATTCAGCACACCGTTCCAAAGGTTCGCTGGAGTCGGTTTTAATTAGGAAATTGTCTAATAGTGGACTACGTCTCTTTGCTTTGCTGACAGCTTTAGACTTGCCAGATTTTCCTTTCGCTGTTTTTGCTGGCAAGTCCCGGGAAACTTTCACTAGGTTCTCTCGCTTCTTATCGCGTGCTCTCGCGTACAATCTCGCCTCTTCTTGCAAATCGGACGGCAATAGAAGTAGAATATCGGGATCTATGTCATCCAGATTTGGAAATATCTCTTGCAATAGTATAGAAGGAGTATGGGTGGTGTTTTCCTCCTTGAGCTTCTTCTCGGAGAAATCCTCGTCCTTATTGTGCATGAAAGTGGACACGCGACTCGACGACGGTTTCTCGTGATCATTATCTCGCATGCACAAATCTGAATTACTATTATCGGTTTCGTTACTGGTGTCTAAATTTTTCGTGCTGGATACGATCGATTGTTCGCTTCGTTCTGATTCCTCCGCAGTGTCGCTATTGTTATTGATGTTCTCAGAACGATCCTTTCTATCAGTCTTGAATATATTCATGAAAAAGGAATTTTGAAAATCGTTATTATTTATTGTCATGCTCGACATGCGTTTGATCTTTGATTTAGCCTTATCGCGCTCCTTGCACACCTGCATCAGCTTGAAGACTTTGCTCGACGTGGGTGAGTCCTCCATTTCTGTATTTAACGAATTATCGATCATTTTGTTTTGTTTTGCCGCTACTTTGTTAATTGTCGTAACTGATTTTTCGTTCGTAACAGTCGTGGTGGTTTGATTTGACTCTTCCTGGTCGGTAACGACAACAAGAGGCTCTTCCTTTCTCGTCTTCAGAGATTGATCTTTGCTATCGATGACAGCGGGAGATCTCACTTCTGCTATTTCGAAATTCGATTTGAAACTTGTTTTACCTCCGGACGAACTTGTAGTCTCCAATTGATCAGTGTTATGATTTACTTTATCGTTATTTTCCGATTTAACAGTTTTAAAGAATTTCAGAAAACTATCGCTCCCCTTCGACGGTATAAATTTGCCGGCAGCAATACCCATATACGCTACTGGACACTGTGTCGATTTAGTGATAACGTCCACACATTGACTCGCCATTTTCTCGGGCTTGTACGAATTCAAAGTAAGCGAGCGAGATTGGGACACAGTGCTTCTGTTCTGATAATAATGATAAGAGATGGTGAGCAACGTCGCACGTCGTTGATTATCCAAAAGATCCTGCTCGAGTCGCTCGCAAACTTCCGCCGCCAAGTCTCCGGCCCAATGTTTCAACTATATGTACAAGATTGTTTTCATGTAATTCTTATATTATATATACATACTTTTCACAATTTTACATAAATAATTCATATCATATGTAAATCTTTTCGATATTGATTAACTTACCACTTCTAAGGAGGTAATGGCTTGCTTTCCCGGAAATTTCTTGCACGCTCCGACAGACTTTGATAGCAACCTGTTGATAACAGGCTCGTTGTCTATGCCTCGAGCAATATTGTACAGCCATAATCTGAAGAATCGTAATTGTAAGTTACATTAGAATTACGAGTCGTTGATTTTGATTGTTGAACTTCGTTCATAGATACAAGAATTTTAAATCTACCCTGTTTTATCATCAAAATGTTTTTGTAATTGTTCCAAAGAATATTGCATTAGATCCCCCATAACTTTGCAACCTAGAGACTCGACTACGACATCGCCGAATTTCCCACCGAGGTTTCTGACTTTCTTCACCGAAAGTTTCGAGTAAAGACTTGCAACAGCTTCCTCAGGTAAGATCGTTTGGCAATTCGGTTTATGTAATCCGCACGCTAATTTTGCTAATATCTGAAAATTAATAAAGCTGTTTAAAATTAACGCAGTTTAAATTAAAGCTGTTTAAAATTAATGCAGGAGCCACTGAAATGTGACACACAGACAAAGCCTAGAAAGAATATTCTGGAATGAGTGGAATAAAGATATATTATTTGCAACCTTATTCTGTGAAATTCCAGCAGAACATCTAAATCCAGTCTCATTATATATACTGGCTCTTATTTCTTCAACTATAACACCAGCTACAGCAAGCTTCTGTGCTTGAGTGTCATGTAATTCCCTAAATGAGTTCTGTATCCAAGTCTGTAGCCCTTGACATCTGTCCTCTAAAACAATAGTACACATGATACATAATGTGATTCAAATTGCTGATTTCAAATTAATATAGTCTACTCCATTTTTATAGTACCTTCATCGTTCTTGCCAACTTCTGAATATCCTACAATATATGTATTTGCGAGAGATGATATTAGTTCATTGGAAGAGATTTTATCTAATCTTTTCTCAACAATATCTGTGATATCAAGATAAGCTTCATCGACACTAGCACGTTCTATCACATTACAGTATTTTTTTATAACTTCAATAACTTCACGGCCAGCTTTTCTATACCTATGTGGGCAATGTGAATGTTTAAATGCTTAATATATAAAATATTGCAATAGACAATATAAATAAATAAGCATATAAATAAATAATAAACACATTAAAAGTTATATTCTAAGCAAAAGTTTTGTTTTAATAACTAATCATTACCTGGTTGTATCTGCTTTTCCACGAAGACAAGGTACACTAGCTAAAACTATATCTGGACATTTCTCTTTAGCTTCTTTGCCTCTCATGTGTCTGGTTACTCCAAAATCTCGTGCTTCATAATTTACAGCTATTATCCTGTCAATAAAAAGCAGTATTATTTATTATCATTCATTGATAATATAATCATATATTAAATCAGTAAAATGTTTTGTTTTTAAATCAAAGACTGATATTTTTTTTTCTTCAGAAAAACTATATTATTAGTTTCTCTTCGAAAAATTACCTGTAGAAAAAATATCTTTACAGTACTATCCTTTAGATAGAATACAATTATTAATATTATAACCAGATAAAGTTAATCGAAATAAATTTTTCTTACCCGCCCATCTCCCATTGATTATATTGAACCACGGCGAGCGGTTTTCCCGCGTATTCGGGTTGCAACTTTGTTTCAACTTGACAGAAGAAGCAATCCATATCTATTAGGACGACAATTCTCTTGCCCAGATCTGCCATTTTCGCAGGGTCTTACAAATTCGAAGTGTTCACTACAGATAACTATAAATCTTCATCATTCTGATGTCAACTAACATAAAATATTAGTATCATATGCGACTCCATTTTAACGCGATGCATTTTGATTATGCATAAGCTTGGACAGGTTTACATACTGTTTACATATGAGACACTCTCTCTTTCTCTCTGGTTGCAGACCATAAAGTAAGAGAGAAGGAAGTCGAACTCCATATAACGAAAATGGTCCTGATTCGTGTCCCCCAATTAAGAGGAAATCCGTTGAAAAGAATAACTTCTTATGGCCCACACTAAGGTGCGTTCGGGGAGCTCGCTATTAGCGCTACTCAGCGCTACCCTGTCATTCTATCCTTGTTGTATATCTAAGGAGCAATAAAGATAGAAAAACGCTGTAGCGTTAATAGCGTGTTCTCCGAACGCAGCCTTAGAGCATATATATATGGAGGGGAAATTGCGTATGCCTCCCTGGGGTGCGTTCAGATTCTTCATCCGCGTGCACTCTATTACTAGAAACACTATAGTACATGTTACATATACTATAACACTTCTAGTAATAGAATCCACCCGGGTGTGGAATCTAAACGCAGCACTGTAGACCAAAAGTGTATCCAAAATATGTGCGAGAGAGAAAGGTATACATTCTTATTCATCCTCTGTGCGATGTGTCAACATGTGTCGGTTGTTGCTGAGCTACAAAATTATTGGTTTCAATATTTTTTTACTTGAATTCTATCAACTTTACCGAAAAATAGCAAGAGATAAAAATTGTTTATTTTCTTCTCATAGAGCTCGGGGAATTTTTTCAGAATTTTGTATTAACTTTTTAGTACTGCATTTTTGCATTTTTTTGAAATACTAAAAAATTAATACAAAATTATGAAAAAATTCTCAGAGCTCTATGAGAAAAAAATAACTTATCTCCTGTCAACTTTATAACCTAACCTAACCTGTCAACTTTAACGCATGCGCACAGAGGACGAATAGGAACGTACAGCTTTCTCTCTCGCACACATTTTGGACACACTTCGTGCCAGCATTCCTTCTCCATGTATATATGCTCTAAGTGCCCACAGGAGGCGGCAACGCTTGCCGCGTCCTGTGGGCAGAAGCCATTATGGTTGGGCGCCATTTGTAAAGCAATAAGTTAGAGCGAGATAAAGATTGCGTTCCGAAATTCACTGCCGTACTGAAATTCTATAGTATACGTAACATGAACTATAGATTTTCAGTACTAGCAGTGAATTTCAGAACACAGTCAAGATATACTTGTCTCACTCTTACTGCACCAGTTCAGTGGTGCAGCTCTTTAACTGCACTACACATCGTTAGTTCACGTGGCTACGTAATGACACGTGACACTGGCAACGATCGGTCCGATCATTTAAGGGACGTCTACATTGGAAGTAAATAGCAAGAAGTAAGAAGCAAGAGTTAAGGGACGTCTACATTGGAAGTAAATAGCAAGAAGTAGGAAGTAAGAATAAAAAATTGACCGATCATAGTTGATTATTCTTCTCACATTCGACTATAGTTGGTCAATTTCTTACTCTTACTTCCTACTTACTTCCAATGTAGACATCTCTTAAGAAATTGATCAACCACAGTTGAATGTGAGAAGAATAATCACTATGATTGGTCAATTTCTTATTCTTACTTCCTACTTCTTACTGCTTACTTCCAATGTAGACGTCTCTATACAGTTGCGTGCAAAAGTTTCCAGCTAATGATATTTTGTACTTTAATTTATCAAAAAAAAGCCTAATGAAATTTTTATCATTATTAGATGTGAGCATAAGATATAGGAAATGAAATAATATAGTGAAAGAATATTATTTATGTTTGTGAAAATATTTATTGTTATAAATGTTATATTTACATGTGCAAAAGTTTCCGGCCACCTAATATATTTGACCCACTGTAGGACTCCAATGGTTTGTTTACAAATAGTATCGTTAAATGATTAAATTTAATTCATAGGAAATCGTCGAAGCATAAACATGGCTTAGCATACGCAAATCCACATTCGCGAGAGAATAATTAAATTTTCAGAAGACGGAAAGTCTTCTGCAGCTGCAAATGAAAATATCAGTTTACATAGGTAAAGAAGCAGCTATCCAGGACGGAAAGCTGCATTCCAAAACGTTCTTTTTGAGGAAAATTTTACTCAATACCTATAGTTCACATTACATATACTATAGAATATCGAGTAAAATTTCCTCAAAAAGGATGTTTTGGAACGCAACCCAGGTTAAGTACATGTCACGCACTGACACTTTTACTTTATATATATATATATATATACACATATATATATATCATCTGATCGCCGCGCCTGCGCACTACGGTCAAAATACACTTCTCGGACATCGTCTGTCCTTCCATTCTGGGACAAGCTCCTCTTAAGGCCGTGGCACACAGAAAAACTTAAGCAGTAAGACGTAAGCAGTAAGCAAATTGACCAATCACAGTCGTTGATTCTTGGACCGTAAGAAGAATCAATGACTATGATTGGTCAATTTTCTTACTGCTTACGTTTTACTGCTTAAGTTTTTCTATGTGCCACCAGCTTTATAGGCAGCATAGGGCGATTAGCAATATAGTAGTATTACATAATGGGTGAGTGTCAGGGGGCTGCTCCCTCTATATATATATATATATATATATATATATATATATATATATATATATATATATATATGCTCTAAAGATCTACATTAGTTGCAATTCGATTGCAACTCTTGTTGCGACAGTCAATCAGAAACGTCAATAGTATCAGTGATGCTTCTGATTGGCTGTCGCGATAAGAATTGCGATTGGCTTGCAACTAATGTAGAACGACCTTAAGATTATGACTCTCGCAACCAGCGCGATTTGCGACGCGACACGCGCTGTAAGCGTCATTCTATATAGACTGCGTTCCGAAATTCACTGCCAGTACTGAAAATCTATAGTTCATGTCACGTATACTATTGAATTTTAGTACTGGCAGTGAATTTCGGAATACAGCCTTTATCGCTCATTATTTGCGGAAGAAAGATAGAGTGACACTTATAAGCGCTTAAAGCGCGTAAGCGCCCAAAAGGAACGCAGCCGCGATATGCGACGCGCGATATCCAATGAGCGTACAGTTTTTCCGGAATATCAGTACGCTCATTGGATATCGCTCGTCGCTTATCATGTGTCGCGTCGTGCATCGCGCTGGCTGCGACAGCCATTATACAGTGCAGACAGTACGCAAAATTTTTGTTGCTCCGTTTTGTTTACGCGTCACGTTACGTACATGCGTGCATGCGTATTGTGTCGTATATAACCGCGCTGTGTCGTACTATAAATTTCAACTCATTCCTCGTGGTGTGTGAGAACAATATGCCCAGTAAAAAGAGAAAATACAACGCCCGTTTTCCAGCGGTAAGCGAACATTGTACATCTTTTCCGATTATCGCAGAATTTAACTGCAACATTGATGAAGAAAATTCTTAAATTTTCTCTTGCTCTATTTTATTTAAATTTAACTTTATTTAAATTTTAAATTCGAGGAGGAAGAGAATTATTTTTTAGTTGCAATGAGCGAAAGTTCATCGTTAAGGTTAACTTCGCTTGTCTGTTGTCAGGGTCGTATCAAGAGGATTATGCAGACGGACGAGGAGATCGGGAAAGTTGCCCAAGCAGTGCCGATAATAATTTATATCCTTTTTGATTATATTTTTTGTAAGAGATAGATTCTTGTAGATTTAGTGATTGTGACATAATCTTGCTTTTGACAAACTTTCTAATCTTGATTTTTACATTACAAACTTTGCCTTAATAAGGCTTACCTAGGACTTTAGAACTTTTTGTACATTCGTTGTTGACCAAGGCCATGCAAATAACATGTGCCAAAAATGCCAGGACTCTAAGTCCAACTCACATGTAAGTAAATGGTAGTGTCGAGCATAGATATTAACTTAATGAGTGTTTAATGATTATTGCTCCTGGCGGAGAGTGATGGATTGAAACAATCTTCTGAATCTACCAAAGGTCTAAAAAAATACTCCAGTTAACAATTATTAAACTCACATTGAGCTACTTTCTCTAATCAGTACAATGATTTAGGAGATTTATCTGAAATTTTTTAGCTAAAGCTTTATCTGTTTTTAGGAAGCAGTGTATTATGTCGGAGAGCCGATTTGACTTTCTGAAGGATCTGGTAAAATCTCTGCCTGATGTACCAGCACCTGATGATGAAGTGCCTACACCACCTGCAACTCCAGCAACATCAGCATCAGCATCAACAACAAACTCAGCCACTAGCAATGCAACACATTCTGAACAAGAGTAAGTTCCTCTTAAAATTTTATACAATCATAATTTTGCTAAATTGTCTCATAAAGTCAGTTTCATATATAATATGTCATAAAGGATACATTATTTTTTAATTATTTATTTTTATTATATAATGCTTTTAGCAGAAAATCGTTGGAGAGAAAGGAAATATAATACAAAATCAATATATCTTCTATGTTGCAGGGTTATTTTACTTGTAATGTATATTTTTTATTTTTATTTTATTTTTATATTTTTATTTTTTATTTTATTTTTATCTAAAGTTATTTAAAAAATGATCAATATGTATATATGATTTAGATAATTCATATACTGTGTAATTATATAAATTATATTTTTTTTGGTTTTTTAATTTGGTTTTTTAATTTTATAAACTACATTGACCACTATTTTTATATGTTTATAGGCATCCAAAGCAATCAGACTTACCAAATGCGAATCACAAAAACACGAAAGATAACCAAAAGATTGCCACGAAGGTAGCCCCACAGGTGCCACAATTCGAGATGTCCATACCTGTGTCCTTTCAGATGAATCAACCAAACTTTTATATGGAACTCAATTCTACCAATTTAAGTGAAAGCACAAGCACTCGAGCGACATCAAATTCCACTTATACTGCCGGCATCGACGAGGATTATGATACATAGTAATCACCTCAGATGAATTCTAGGATGTTAAAAATCTTTGTTGAACGTGGAACACGATTAGAGGACAGTAGTGATAACGCGCTTGTATCAGCAGCGCTAATCTTACAATCACCACGTCGCCTATGGACTAGTGTTATCTGATATGTTTGGTTTGGAGTGATTTCTCTTTTATTTATACAGGATGGTTTCCCAGAACCACGTGAGGTAAATATTATTTAAAAATATTACAACTTTTTTTTGAGAGTTCTTTCAAATAAATCTTTCAAAAGTTATTTTCCTATTTTTTTAATTATTTTATCTAAACGAATACTTAACACATCAACAATAATTTATTTCACTTTTAAAGAGTTACAAATTCTGAATATAATGATTCCTTCTTTTCAATCATTATTTATAGAAATATGTAAGTTCACGTCTTCTATGCCATCCTGTATCAAGCGACGCGGTAGCATCGCGACGCCCTCTCAAGTACATAAAATATAAAATTATATTAAATAACGAAATTTTCAATTTTAGTTTTCAAATTTAGTTTTTCTACGAAATCCATTATCTTTGTGTGGATTTCATATATATTCTATACATATATACATACATGTATATGTAATATATATATATATATGTATATATAATATATTTATGTATATATATATATATAATATTTTCTTTTTGTTTCGTATTTCTTACATATTTGTATTGGTTTATTGAAATAATGTCAAATCGTGTTGTTAGAAGCAAGATGATTTGATCGACATTGTTGATATCGTATTGTGGTACAAGTAATCACTGATACGGTTATATAATCGTTATGTCTTTTGCAAAGTCATTGCCTCTCAACATTGTTACCGTTATTACGTAAAAACAATTGCGCTTACTTCATTAATTTGCGTTTAGGCGAGGAAATATTAACAGGAAGCGAGACGGATGAATAATCGTATCAAACGAAACGCTGTTCCGTTCAATCGGTATTCTCTGTAGCTATAAAGACATTTTTATAGTACTTTTATTGTATATCCTCGAGCTTCGATGCGCAGTATAGCGTTGTTACATCTTTTTTTTTTTCATAACTGCGTATGAAAATTTCGAACGAATTCTTTCTCTATCTTCGGCTTGATGGTAGACTACGCGGATTAGCCAAATTTCGCCTCGGATAGTACGATGATCTCATAGAAACGAAAGATTTTTTAGAAAAATAATCTTGCTCAGAGACTTCGTTAAACCGCACAGCCAAGGGAGCCGAAACGCAATACAAGTACATGGGAAAAGATTACAAGGAATCGAGAGAAACCCGAATTTTTCGCACATGCATTTTGTATAGAAGGAACTTTATAACAGACGTTTGATGTATACGTTTGTGTATACGAAAGATAATTAACGTGGATTTAAGTAATGTATTGATTTCGAAGGTCATTCCTTTTACTCTTTTCTCCCGAAGTACATATACGCAGTATGACAACGCTATACAGTTAACTCGACTCACACGATCGAGGTATGTTTTTGATGTTTAACAAAACGGCCCATGGAACATCAACGTATCATATATGATTCTATAGAGACACGATGTTCGATGCACAAGTGCGATTTCCATCATAATCTGTACATATATCGGGTCGAACGCGAAGAAAAGCAATTAGATAAGAGCGAATTATACATATATGTATTCGTCGAGCGTTTCTTGTACCTTTTTCTTCGGCTCACAATTCATCACTACACACTACACATTGTAATAAAACGCTTACACTATTTGAATATGTCTTTCATTCGAGCAACATCGACCTGCTGTTACGCGGAACAGACACTGTCCTGCGACGTCCCAGCGTGCGTGTGAACACCGTTGTCTCTCGAGCTTGAATTTTAATTGCAGTCGAATAAATCGCGCTCCGAATTCTCTTTCTTGTCAGGAAAATAATCGTAAGCCGCTACCTTGGCGGAGCGACTTATGCTATGCGTAACATAACGAGTGATTTTACGTAACGACGTGAATGTGTATTTATGATTAAGTTTACATTACGTTAATATATCCCGTTTTTGAGCGAGATTTGCCTCGAGAATGAGCAAACATGCCTCGAAAGCGTGAAAGAGATGCCGAGAATTAGCATATGAAATAACGAGCAACCAAGAAGCGATGGCGTAATCTCTTGCGGCTTTTTGCATAACAGTGCATGCAAAACATAACTCGCGTGACAGCGCACGTTATGCACGTTACACGAACGCTAAATTGCAATCGTAATTAGATATCCGGTACATTTTTGCGGCTATCGGCTGTCGCGCCGGTGTCACGTCAGCGCAATTTTTATATCCGCTAAAAAATTCCGCCGGTCAGTCGGTTCGTCCTGATATCGCCAGCTACACGTAGAATTAGTGTTCGCATGTATTCAAGCCGGGATTGTGCGATAAGCTTTTTGCGAATTGACGCGAACGACGACGCGGACGTAATCGTTCGTATTCGGAAGCGCGCGCGGATACGTGTGTATCGCTCCACATGCCTCGATATCGCCGTCGCGACTTTAAGATCCTCCGTGTCGGCGAACAAAAACGTGATGTATCCGTACGTGAGCAACGAGAGCGGACGGATAATGATACTGGACCCAGGTGGATTTACGGAAACGTGTTTGGTTTTCTCGTGGAAGTAGATTATTTAGACGCGATTGCGGCTACATCTCGACTCGTTCAAGGAGCACGTGAGTTATAAGATATATTACTCGAAATAAGAGCGTAAAAAAGATCACGCGATCGCTCGGAGAGAAGTTTCTTTTTCTCCCGCGAGAAGACCGTTAGGTTTGAATATCCGCGTTTTTTAAAACTATATACGCGTTCAGTCATATTCGTTCCGTAATAACTTGTGTGTACAGTGTGAAATTGAGTTCGGTGAGTGTTCGTTATATTTTCACCTGCCTCTGTGTGATCGCATGAATTTCCTTAGTACGATAATTATAAGTCGAGAAGGTACATTTTAATGATTTGTTGCATAGTTTGTCGATGATCGAAATGCCATTGGGAAAGTGAGCGCGTGATATTGGTTATTCAGATTAACATTCGTCTGTAGTATTGAAAAACAAACGTATTAGATACTTCATTTATATAACACATCTTTATAATGCAAAGTACCATGCCTCTGCAAATATAATGTCGCGAACATCGGCAGGTCCGATCCATTGGCCATCGAAATGGCTACATACTGGTATTCTGTCTTGTTGTGTTGTGGATTCGTCACCCTCACGAACGGTTTGTTTCGGACACGCGGATTACTGCCTCCGTTGGAAGATCCTAATAAAGTGTTGGTAAGCGCGAAATCTCGAGACACGATCTGATATATACAGGATATCTCACACTCTCCTCCGGGCATTTTGTGGGGACGTAGAACAGGTTGAGATGAACATAAAAGTCTTATACGGTTTTGCGATATTCGCAATAATTTTGCGTAATAATGCACTTATCTTCTTTAATTAATAATTAAAAATCTATGTGATTATTTGCAAAATGGTAGAGGACTTTTTTGTTCAATTTGATCTAAAGTATAAGTACACGACGGCAGTCGTCTACTTACTTTCGCTATTATAACTCATTTACCATATCCTGCATGTTCACAAATTTTCTACAATTAATATCTCGATAATTATTGCGAATATCGCAAAACGGTATAGGACTTTTATATTCACTTCAACCTGTCCTACGTCCCTGCAAAATTCCCGGAGGAGAGTGTGAGACCTGTATATCTCCAATTTTAAAATTATATAATACAAAAAATAAAAATACTAGATCACGTAAATTCTGCTTAATAAAACCATCGAAAATTTAGAGTCTAGGCATTTCGTTTACTAATTACGAATTAGTAAATTTAATTGTTAATTATATAAATTATATTGTTTCCCAATATACTTTGATGTTTTTTAATGTTATTTTTTAGTAGATTTAATCCAGATATAAACGAAACAAGCAAATGCTAATAAAAGTCGAATGGTTTTATAGAATTATTATTTAAATTTATATGTGTAATCGGTTTAATGTAAGCCAGCATTCGACTTTCATTAGTCTGCGTTTCTACTTGTCTTTTTATATTTTGATTGAACATTTTGTAAAGTCAATTATTTATTATTATACTTAATGCTCCTGTACTCGCATCATCATCATCCAGTATACGTTTTCTTCTGATATCATTAAAAAGAGATGCAAGATGCGAGTACGCAGGAACCTTGGTGATAAATTTAACTATAACAATAACCGAAATGCAGTTAAAGTTGGAAAAATTTCAATTTATAACTTAATATATTTATAGTCTGAGAATCATTTACAGCAAAGCTTCGTGGTTACAGGGAAACTACGTGAAGGAAAATGATTATCCATTTGAACTTCATTTCGTGACAACCAAAGACGGATATGTATTAGCTCTGCACAGGATACCTCCCAGTGATCCGAATAAATTAAACATTCCAAATCGGCGAGTAGTGTTAATTATGCATGGATTACTAGGATCTTCGGCCGATTGGATAATAACGGGTCGCAATCGTTCAATCGGTATCATATTGATAATTGCATCTTTTAATTTAGACTCTTAGAACAAACGTCTAACATTTATTCTAAAAAAAAAATTTTGTTTGTCGTTGTTAGCCTTCCTCTTGTCTGACAATGGTTATGACGTGTGGCTCGGCAACGCTCGTGGAAGCACAAACTCGAAAAATCACACGAAACTCTCCATACAAAGCGCTAAATTTTGGGACTTTAGGTAATGTGAACTTCAGAAGTTATATCACTTTTCATTTCATTTCTTGCGACTTTAAAAAGTGACAGACAGGTAAAATGTGATCAACATGTATCAACTATGTTAATACGCATAATTTTTGTGAATAAAATTAATTGAGTCTTGATACTAGGTACTTCCTCAATTTCTTATTTTAGAATATAGTTACTAATAACACTTTCAGTTGAGAGAATAAAAAAATCAATTATATATTATATTTTAATCGATTTTTTCTACGTTTTATAAATACAAAGTGTCCGTCCATAAATGTCCGAGTAAATACCTTGTAACTGGTTGAAGTTACAAGAAAGTTTAATAAGCGAAATTTACATGGCTCTTAGTCAGCTACAAAATGCATGTAAAAAAATTTTTTTTACTCGTGACCTTTTTGAGTTATGAAGGTCAACGTAGTTTTTTTAAACGGATATCTATAATTTTTTTTGCATATTTACAATAGGAATTATTTGCAATCAAAATCATATCCAGTAAAAAATTACTAATATACATCGTTTACGAGATAATCGACATCTTAAGTATTAAAGTAATAAATTGGATTATAAGTATTTTTGAACGTGGTTTGGAATGTCAATGAGGTTAAAAAAATAAACAATGTTTTTTTATGAAACATTTATTAACACATAAATTGTTCGAAAAATTTGACCATTATGTTCGATACAGCATTCAATACGTTTTATTTCTCATTGTTAATTGCAGCATTTCCGCTGTAATGCCTGTAAGCCCTTGTGATCTTATGTCGTAAATCTTCTTCATTTTCAAGAATAGTTG